AAGATATTAGACTTGCAAGATTTGATACAAACGTGTACACACGCAAACATACAGATAGGTAAGTTGAAAACTATCTGGTTATTGTAGAAATTTTAATATTTCAATCTTTCGTTCGGTCAGAATAACTTTTATCTTTTCCTATTCCCAATCCGACCCTGTGCTACATTTTACAATGGCTCTATGATACTCTCTCTCTCCCTCACCAGACGTGTGGGAGGAGCTACCTGACGGGCGTGTCATTTAAAAGAAATTCATCTACTATTCTGACTCCAGATTCAAAAGTAATAATTAGTTTTCACTAGTCGACGGCTGAAGCAAAACTTTATTAGTTGACTTTGATAAAATTTGATATTTCCCATTTCGAAAGGCATAATGCAAGGAAATCAAATTCGTATAAATAACACATTCTTATTAAATTAATAACAAAATAAAGGAAACATTAAAAAGAAAAATGAGAAAGTCGTTTAACTGAGAAAATGATAGGCTTCAATACCGAAATGGAATAACACCAAAATATTCGTTAGTTTTGATGGTGGAATTGAAGAAAAATGCCCAAAAATGAGAGAGAGAATACTTTTTATTCATCTAATATTCGAAAAATATTTTTTTTATTATTTTTCCTTTATACACTCATACAATCTTTCCTCAATCAGAATAAGAAAAATCGTTTCTGACTCATTTTTTTTTCAGGGATGAAGACCCTTAACCTTCATGTAAACTGTCAATTACTTTCAAAATCGAAGTAATTGCCAATGACTCTTTGATGCACTGAGTGCAAACTTCCATCCGAATGAGATAAAACACAAACATTAACAATTTCATGTTCCTTTTTGATTTGTAGAAGAAAATGATCCTACAAAAGTATGTTATATTGCATATTTTATTGATCCCGTGAGTGTATTATTTTGTTGTCCAAACTGTATTATTCTTTTACCTGAATTAGCTAAAAACTTCAATCACTTTACATTACGTCAATGGACATGTAAAAATAGACATTCCGAAAGTAGCATTTATTGCCCAACAGATTTATATAGTTTCCTTGAAAGGCAATATTCAAACACAAACAAGAAAAAACAGTTCAACTGAAAAATGAATAAAACGTAAGTTCAGAATAGTAGTCAACCCACATATTTTATTTATAATCATCATGATAATATATTTTTTAGGAAAGCTTGGTCACCATGACTCAATCATGAAAATTGTAAGGAAATTCAAAGATTTCTTTCCTTATATACATTACAGTTTTACATTTAGATATATTAAGGTAAAACTGGAACCAAAAACAAGTATTTTTCGCAAACATCAAAACTGCAATACTCTTCTTTGAAATGTGTTTCACCAACCAAACTGGCATCTTCAGGAAATGAAGAAAACTGCATCGAGAATAGTACTGCAGTTTTAGTGTTTGGGAAAAGTGCTCATTTTTGAGTAAATTACTAGCCAAGCACTCATTAAGAAGTTCATCAATCTGGGATACTAGTAGATAAATTTTCATATCATATGCATAAAGCAACGCAGTGGAAAAATAAAAGACCTAGATTTGAGTCTTGAGGGACACCAGAAGCTGAGACATCAACTGAGTTGATGCAATCTGCAACTTAAAGAACAAAATGATCATTGGATTTCCAAAATCGGCACGGCTTTTTCAAGGAAATGGCATGATCTATCCAAAAGCCAACTTAGACAAAAGTATTATATAGACTTTTGACTCGTTAAACCATGCTGTGATGGGGTTATTGCCTCTAACTGCAGGGTTCATGTGAATATATACAAACATTTCAAATACTTGGAAAATTATTGAAGGGAGATCTACCACCAAACTTCAAGACACGGGCTATTTTATTTTGTTTCCACACATTTTCAATTCAGTTTGGCTTCAGACAGCTGTTACCTGTATTTTGGGTCTAACGAATTTCTCAGTTCGTCCTCTTTCTGCCGATCTTTCATGGAGCCTCTTCCAAGAACAGCCATTTTGCACATGGTTTCTTCTTGTAGGCGTTTCATCGAATTTCCTTTCGGTCCCAAAAGTTTTCCAACAAAGTTGAACTGTAATCCAAAAAATTCTCAGTTGATTCATCATTTCAAAACAGTAAAAAATTATACCTTAGGATGTTCCCTCACAGGTACCAGGACTTTTACGGTCACCTTTATCGGTTTCTCTCTGTAGATATCTACATATTTGTTTTCCTTCAGAGGAGCCTTTCCTATTTGCTGAACCTTTGCAACCTCTGCAAAAGAAGATACAATTTGAATTTTTTCATTTTTGCCTTAAATAGTTCCAAAAGGTAGATTTTTTCCTAATATCTAATAGTAACCTGAAATAGGCAACTTTGCCGTAATAGAATCGAATGAGTTCATCACTCAAACTTCCTGCAAGCCTAAACGGCAATGAATGCATATCTCCAATAGAAAAGGTTTGTGAACTTTACACATATAACCAACAACTATCTCTTCTAAACACTTATCCTTGAGGAATGCTCTGACCATTAGAACTTTAAACATGTCAATAGTACAAAGTGATTCCAAAAAGTGGCATTATTTAGACAACTGAACAAAAAATTAATCAAAAATGATCTTTCAAAGAGTTAATGGAGTTATCTGATCTGCAACCATTAAGACTGAGGACATCATCAAACCATTTGGCATTGATAATTTCCAAATACCAGTAGTGGTAGTACTAACCTGACTAGTAGTGAATCAATGATATTTAAAGGCAACCAATTGTAAACATATATGTTTCAAATGGGTCAATGAGTGAATTCATTGTTGAAAAGGCATTCAACACCACCACTGAATAAATTACTTGCCTTAAGCAAATTAAAAATGATTCTATAGAAAGGAATTAGTAACCTTTAAATTATTCAAGGGAGGTTTTCGAATGTCCCGATTGTTTTTTGTGTTAACGCTATAATCTCCGAAAATTTTTTCAGTTCTTTCGAAAAAATCATCTTACCCTGTTCGATCAACCTAGCAGCATTGGGTGAATTTACTTGATCCAATGCTAGCTTTTCCGCTAGTAATTCCCTAACGTATTCACTCGCTTTTTGGCTTGCTAAAGCGCTTTCTTCACTTTCCCCGGCCATATCTGTGTCTCCTTTAGAATTCTTGTCTCTTTTGAAATTATCTCCATAATAATCACCATTTGAATCATACTTGTCCGTCATCGCGTCTTGTTTTTGAGTGCACTATGAACAAAATGGCCGGCTTTCAGTTTGAAAAGAAATGTGAAATCAATAATCTGAGGAGCGTTTTATTGTTACTCGATTACTATGTGTCGTAGGTTAGTAAAGCGGCCCATGAAGGCGCTAGTTGTTCAAAAAATGGTAGCGACTAAAGTTGTTGAGTTGATGGGAGAAATGATAGGATGAGAGTTTTTTACTTCTACCAGCTTTATTTTCACTTGTGAGTAACTTTGTTATACTTCTACATTCGTCAAGGATCGTATCGTAATAAATTCTATTATAAAAACAAGAACTCAATAATCGGTTTACTGATTCCGAATTTTATTTTTCATCTTTGGATCATTTAAGAAATTATGTATTTTTGAAATATATACTACTGGTTATTTCATTTTTTTTCAAATTCCATCAGTTATTATGAAAACAACTGACTTTCATTTATTTAAACGTATATTACAACAAATATGAATGAAACAACTAATACTTGACTACTTCTGACTATGATTCTTTTCCCTGAGTTTCCTATTCATATTATGAAACCTAGATGTCGCACATTTTATGGTCCGTCCGAATTCACTTACCGCTTTCGCTAAAGAATTCAAATTCCAAAAGAATATATCGATAACAAGAAAAATAATCAATGAGATTGATTCATTAGAAGAACAGGGAGATTAAAAGAAACAGTTTCAAGTCATAACCATGTGGGTACTATTAATGCTGTGGAAATCAAATTTATTATTATTTAGTGGATTTTGTTAATGTTTTTTCGTTAACCAGTTGTGGTTAACGAAAAACGTTAACGTGGAACGACAACTCTCAAAAGTCAAAACTTGTGGAAGCTAAGGACTAACGAGGTCTTACCTTTTAACGTGTGATTCCTAACACGTATTAAGGAGGCCCTAGACGGTCAATCATTTTGATCAAAAGCTTGAGTCAATCGATTGACTGAAGCGTGATTGACCGTGTAGGAACCTGTTTGACGCTTGAAGCGAGGCTTGTTGGTGATTGATAAAAAGTTTGAATGACTCAAGCCGTTGAAAGAGGGGGTTGACCGTCTAGGGCAACTTTCGTCAAGCATTGCGTCAGTCACTAGGTAGAAACCATGGCGTCCGCTATGGAAAGTAAGCTTCCCGAAAACTCTGAGCGGGAATTCATTAACCTGTTGGTTGAATTATATCGTGATTATCCGGAATTATGGAAAGTAAAGAGTAAGGACTATTACAACAGAAACAAGAAAACTGCATCATTACCATGTATCACTCCTTCGACCACCGTCGTTTCTTTCTGGTAAGAACAAGGTTTTGATCAAAATATTGAAGGGCTGATTGCAGTTGATTGAAGCGCGCGTCAATCGACTGACTCAATCGTTTGATCAAACAGATTGATCGTTTAGGGCCACCTTTAGTTCTGCTAAAGCAAGGTGAGTAAGCATCAATCACTGTAATTTCTGCATAACATTAGGGAGGGAACTTTATCCGAGTTCCACTTGCTATTACCCAATCAACAAAATATTCTATCTGAAATGCACGACATAGCATTCTGCGAGGCGTTAAAATAAGTTCAAAAGTCCAATGTAAATCAATATCGACAGCTGTAGAAGTTTGTTGCATTTTTCGGGCATTGAAAGTTAGGAACACGAGGAAAACAATTGAGAAAGAAGTTTTGTGAAGTCGAGAAACTTTTGAAAAGAAGTTTCAACGCTTTCGACACCTTTCAACTTTGCATTCACATAATTACTTCTCATTGTGAGTTTAGAAGGAGCTTGATTAGTCATTAGGTACCACGTGATTGAACAAAATATTAATTATTTAATGTTTGTTGTTTTTTAATGAAGACACAGAAGTGATGTTACTTTACATAGTGGTTTGGGCAGTGGCCAAGATGAATTGGAGTACTGCAAAAGCAATGACTTTTACTACCTAATACTAGTAAACCAAGTCATCAAAATCTAAAAGATCTAACAAATAGTGTATTTTTTCTACACCCGTACTCTAACAATACACTTATATGACCATAATCCGTTTCATAATGATATCCATTATGATACAGATTTTTCATAACTTCATGTAACATCTAGAGGGCGCTGCGTACGCTGTCATTATTTATTTCAAATTGCCCTAACTTTTTCGACAGTAAACTATTGGTACTTTCCATGAAAAAAACTTAATTCCGACACCTTTTCCAAGTAAAAAAGTACTCTTCTCCAATAACGCTGGAGGTGATAGTTTTCCAGATATTTATGATTTTCTATAGTGATGATTATTTATTTCTTAGCTCCTAGTGAGCTAAGTGAAGTTGCTTAGAACACTACAAAAACTAAGTATGTGGTAGATATCGCAAAATGAACAACTTTTTCTCATATAATGCTTATCGAAAAACCATTCGTTTTCGAGATACAAATTGTTGAAATTTTTTAACACATGGCTGGTTTTCGTCATAAGTTTTTTGCAATTTTAGTTATTAGGATCTCGTGATCCAGTTATCCAGAACGAGGGTTCGAGGACACTGTTGGAGACTGACCTATCACAAACGGTGAGTGGGGTGGCAGAAAAACTGGGCGTCAGCTTCTATGAGATTTTTGATGGTTTAAAAACATATTGGACAGGTAAAAAATCTCGAAAAGTGAGTGTTTTTCTTTGCTTTTGTGCAATCAAAACGATCCTTTTTGGATCGGATTATCATGTGTGATGAAAAGTGGATTCTCTACGATAACTGAAGACGTTCAGGACAGTGGTTGATAATCTCTTCAAATACTTTCATAACATTCTCACTAGTAGAATATTTGCCAATCGGGACCAGGCAAAAACGGCCTTCGTCGACTTCATCGAATCCCGAGGTATATATTTTAATGCTGACGGAATTGATCGATTTGTATTACGTTGGCAAAAGTGTTCTGATTCAGGTGATATTTATTTCGATTGAATTGAATATGTACCTATGTACCTTTGAAGTAGACCCATAGGTACCAGTCGAGATGATGGTAAATGACCATATGGTCTCTCATACCATGGAAATACGGTACCTAAACCTGTGGTATGGGACTTTACTTGCGTTACACCGTCGCGGCTTTCCATCTAGCTGAAAGTTCAAAGTCAGATGGAACAGCAGTATTGTCTGGCAAAAAATTGAAACGAAAAAAATACAAAAATCTTGACAACAACTATTTGTTCCATCCAGTAGCGGTTGAAACTTTTGATGTTTATTGCCCGGAGACGCTGTTATTCGTTCCTCGGAAGGAGAATAGGCCAAGCAACGAAAGATTACCGTTCTACTTATTTTTTGATAGAGATAGAAAGAATTAGTATTGCTATTCAACGTGGTAATGCTGCTTCGGTCCTTGGAACTATTTCTTCTTCACATAATTTTGATGAAATCATGCATTGCCCTTTGCCCTCATTTCAGTACGAAACTAAAATTTCTTCGAAACAAGCTGAGATATGTGTATCTTCATCAGTCTCCTAGCAAGGTTAATTCGCAAGTGGTTGATCCACCTTCTTCTTTTTTGGTGCGGTCAATGAACCTAGGTTATTCTTGCCCCCCAAATATGAGCTGCAGTTCTCGTGGTTCCGGTTACCTTTAAGTGGAAAAGCTTTATGAAGTAAAAGCCGAATCGATCCCTCTACGAAACCCTTCATCACTTGAAAGGATCGATTGCAGCTTGAGAAATGGTTCTGATACAGATTTTGGGAAACATGTTCTTCGTTACGAATCGGAAGACAGTTTTCCTGAAAATCTTGAGAAGAAAATTGGATTAGATAATTTAAGAAACACTCGCTACATGAATAGCATTTTACGAATGCTGTTCATGACGAAGAATTTCAAGAACGAGATTGTAACGATGAATGAGAACGCGAATGTTTCCTACTTATTCATCAAACTCAAACAATGGTTCATGCAGTTGCAGTTTTGTAAGAATCTATATCATCTTGTCAAATATAGAAAATAATCATGAAATAATTCAAATTCATTCAAGTGAATACCTACATGAATTGAAAGATGTTCCAACCTCAACTTCAATATTGCAACACAAAAACACCCAGTATTCAGAATTCCATCTTTTGATACTTCAAGTTCAAAGACATCGAAATTGATCCGATCACAGGATATAAATCTTCATAAATATTGAGAGAGGTCAAGATCATTAACAGACAGTATTCAGATTTTCATTTGAGTATCTATTGATCATCAGCCATGCAGCACATCTCCTTCTTTTCGATCTTGCTGGGTGGCAGTATAATGTAAGTTTTTTTGGTGTTATAATGTAATTTTTTTATTAACATTTGAGTGTGAGTTTATTTTTTCCGTTTCTTCTACAATAAATATTTAATTGAGTTTTTAATGAGTCCTTTCATTATTTGGATGAATGAATGAATGGGTGAAACAGCGAATAAAATCCTCTCGGTACTAGCCAAGGAAGTACTGAGTTGCGACGAGTTTGTAGATCCTTTGCTGGAAAAATCCTCACTTGTTTACTTTGTAGTAAATGTTCAAGAGGTAGCACGTGACTTCAACTAGCGTTTTCTAATATGACTGATAAATAACCAGTCCGTGCAAAGCTTACTGTTGAATAATCTGAAAATGGAACTTTTAACGGGTGATGATCAACTGTATTGCCAAACATGCACCAAACTAACTGACTATCATAAGAAAACAAGTATAGCTGAGGCACCAGTCAATCTAATAATAACACTGACGATCTTCAAACATGACTCAACCTGTGATGGAAGCACCAAACGTTTACGAAGGTTCGAAATAGATGAACAACTTCAATCTAGCAGACCACTATTATAATCTTCATGCAGTCATTGTTCACTGTGGTTCTGGCGTTGAATCTGGTCATTATTACGCATTGGTCAAAGACGAAACGAACTGGTTTAAGTTTGATGGTAGTCGTGCCACTAAGTGTTCTAGTGATGTCTTGAATTTATTGGAGCAGTAACACATTCAAATTTGTATGATTTTGAATTCAACAAATTATCAGCATTATTATTGTAATCATTTTCCAAATGAATAGTTAAAAAAAGTTTTATTCCGTGAGCATACGTACGTAATCTATAAAA